GGGGGGGGGGGGGGGGGGGGGGGGGGGGGGGGGGGGGGGGGGGGGGGGGGGGGGGGGGGGGGGGGGGGGGGGGGGGGGGGGGGGGGGGGGGGGGGGGGGGGGGGGGGGGGGGGGGGGGGGGGGGGGGGGGGGGGGGGGGGGGGGGGGGGGGGGGGGGGGGGGGGGGGGGGGGGGGGGGGGGGGGGGGGGGGGGGGGGGGGGGGGGGGGGGGGGGGGGGGGGGGGGGGGGGGGGGGGGGGGGGGGGGGGGGGGGGGGGGGGGGGGGGGGGGGGGGGGGGGGGGGGGGGGGGGGGGGGGGGGGGGGGGGGGGGGGGGGGGGGGGGGGGGGGGGGGGGGGGGGGGGGGGGGGGGGGGGGGGGGGGGGGGGGGGGGGGGGGGGGGGGGGGGGGGGGGGGGGGGGGGGGGGGGGGGGGGGGGGGGGGGGGGGGGGGGGGGGGGGGGGGGGGGGGGGGGGGGGGGGGGGGGGGGGGGGGGGGGGGGGGGGGGGGGGGGGGGGGGGGGGGGGGGGGGGGGGGGGGGGGGGGGGGGGGGGGGGGGGGGGGGGGGGGGGGGGGGGGGGGGGGGGGGGGGGGGGGGGGGGGGGGGGGGGGGGGGGGGGGGGGGGGGGGGGGGGGGGGGGGGGGGGGGGGGGGGGGGGGGGGGGGGGGGGGGGGGGGGGGGGGGGGGGGGGGGGGGGGGGGGGGGGGGGGGGGGGGGGGGGGGGGGGGGGGGGGGGGGGGGGGGGGGGGGGGGGGGGGGGGGGGGGGGGGGGGGGGGGGGGGGGGGGGGGGGGGGGGGGGGGGGGGGGGGGGGGGGGGGGGGGGGGGGGGGGGGGGGGGGGGGGGGGGGGGGGGGGGGGGGGGGGGGGGGGGGGGGGGGGGGGGGGGGGGGGGGGGGGGGGGGGGGGGGGGGGGGGGGGGGGGGGGGGGGGGGGGGGGGGGGGGGGGGGGGGGGGGGGGGGGGGGGGGGGGGGGGGGGGGGGGGGGGGGGGGGGGGGGGGGGGGGGGGGGGGGGGGGGGGGGGGGGGGGGGGGGGGGGGGGGGGGGGGGGGGGGGGGGGGGGGGGGGGGGGGGGGGGGGGGGGGGGGGGGGGGGGGGGGGGGGGGGGGGGGGGGGGGGGGGGGGGGGGGGGGGGGGGGGGGGGGGGGGGGGGGGGGGGGGGGGGGGGGGGGGGGGGGGGGGGGGGGGGGGGGGGGGGGGGGGGGGGGGGGGGGGGGGGGGGGGGGGGGGGGGGGGGGGGGGGGGGGGGGGGGGGGGGGGGGGGGGGGGGGGGGGGGGGGGGGGGGGGGGGGGGGGGGGGGGGGGGGGGGGGGGGGGGGGGGGGGGGGGGGGGGGGGGGGGGGGGGGGGGGGGGGGGGGGGGGGGGGGGGGGGGGGGGGGGGGGGCCTTTCCGTGATGTGTTCGAATAAGACAATGGGGGGCGTGACATTTGAGTTTGCTATAAGAGACTATGGGAATTAAGTATGAATCAAACGTGTCCGCGAGTCGCCTCCATCACATTTTCTATTTTTAAGGAGTTTTTGGGGGGACGAAAGGCAAATGTGTGGTTGGATTGCTAAACGTCTGACGCACTGCCTTGATTGTAAGTTAAGGAAGCCGCTAATGAGCCTTCAGGTTTCCTGATTGAGCCTTCACCCATGCGTAATGCAAGTAATTGGTTTTAAAACTGCCTAAATTGTCAGATTGTTGTGTTGTGTGTTTTAATATTAATGTCCATTTCATTTTAATTTAACTATTCTATCGCGCCTCTGACCTCCATTATTAAAAGTTACATAGAAATGGCGTGAATGAGATTACAGGAAAGCTTTTTGTATTTTACATTAACGAGCTTGTTACGCTCTTAACGAATTGCAACTACCGCAAGGCCACGATACAACAACTAATCGGCAACAATTTTTCAAAAAAAGGAATGTGAGATTTAAGCAGTGAATTTAGAGACTCATGCAACGCTGTCCACAACTGACGCTGTATTAAGATGATTTAAATTAGAACCTTGAGCACAAGTATGGGTGAACAGCATAGAACATTCGTGTGATAATCGTATTTTTATGGCTGTCTGATTACACGTTAATGTTAAAGATGTCTATATACGTTTGTACTATAAACGAAGTGCCGTCGGTGGAGCTTTTGGGGTAGTCCTCTTTACGGTGAGAGATGCTTATTATTGATCGAAGTGGTATTTACCCTAACCAACTCAGTTATAACTCATATTTCAAGCGGTTCACTCGTCAGACAAGCTTCTCTATATGGAGCTGCGGTTATGACTGGCTTGGTCTCGACTGCATTTTTCATAAAATTGGAAGCATTTAGTGACTCAATCAATTTGACACTTTGATGAGTTTAGTTTTTAGTACATGAAAAATTATGTAGCGAAGGCTCATTGGCAAAAAGTGAAGGCTCATTAGCGGCTCTCTTTGTTAACAAATGTTATGGAATCATTCAGATACGACGTACTCTCTGTATAGGAATGTAGTCAAGCCCACACCGAGCGCATTCCGTATCAGGGAAGAGACTGTATTTTGAAGACTCTGATGTAAGTTGATGTTGGTAGCCCGCTAGGTCCGGACCATTTTAATTAGAAGTCCGCTGGAATAGTACTGGTTGAAGTAGCGGCTGACGTCTAAGATTTATGATGGACATTAAAATAGGCCGACAAGACAGGAGAAGAACGAAACAGGCTAGCTAACCAACAATGTCCTAATTCTTATACCACAGTGCTTCGGAGACTTTCTCTCTGCCTAACACAACGACAGAAGAACAAGTTCAAAGCCCAAATTGGTAGCAAATAAAGAAATTAACGCGGCACAGGCGCCGTCGGCTACCGGTCACAAAATGGCCGCGACCGCGCCTGCTATGGTCGTCTCTCCTACGCAAAAGGCGTGGACATTGACGCACTGGCAAGAGTTCTTGAGGTGCCCACGGTAATGAATCTGTGGGCGCATTAGCGCAGCACGACGATCTACGGATGCGAGCAAGACAGCATACACAGAAGCGTGCTGATCCTTTGCCTTAGCTGCCTGATTCATTGTCACCATGCCAGCCGCCACCAGAGCCTCAGGCGATGCCGGCACCTCAAGGAAAGCCAGTGCAGCAGCGGTAACAAGTTACACCGAAGAAGTATTGAACCACGGATGCTATTCAGCGCTATCTGCCGACCGGCAAGCTCGTTGGCACCGAGGTGTATGTTGGACTCGGGTCCGGCTTCTTCGACAGTAGAATGACGTTTTGAAACCAGTTAAACATGGCACAGGAGTCTTGCGAATTCTTGTGGTGTGAAAACGTGAAAGCCGAAGTGCTCGGGCAGTCCCTCACAGGGATCGCTGAGCATCACTTCAATAAGCATTTTGACACGTGATGAGCCGTACTGTCGTTTTATAGTACGTAATGCAGCGCATGCTGGACACGTTTAAGACGACGACCACCGTCGCTCAAGCGATGAGGCTCTTTACAGCGAAGAAAAAGAGCAAAAGGTCCTGTCCAGAGCACTGCTAAAATCTGGTGGCAGTCAGCGGCGCCGCGGGTGGCTGAGCAGTAGGCTCTCTACAACATCGAACAACAAGCATCGTCTGATCCGGCGACGATTCTCATGGCAAAGTACCAGACTCACCGCATCGATTACATCGTTCACGCGAAATAGCTCGCGCCTTCGCACAAGCAATCGATAAAATAGCTGTGTAGGGACGTTCCTTTGGGAAGGAAGTCGTCGCGCGCGTGGACGAGTCCGCGTCGTGCAAGGAGACTCGTACTTACCACGAAGGTGGTAATGCCGGTCGCCTAAAAAAGGACTGTCGCAGCGAGAAGAATGGCGATTGGAAGAAGGTCAAAGGAAACAAAGACGGAGGCAAAACCACGATAGTTGTCGGCGAAGGAAGAGGTTGCAACGGCTGCGCGCCACCGGACAAGGTCTGGCGATGGCGATTGGTGGCGACAGCGACGACGAAGATGACGACTTAATCCTTGACAGCGGTTCCAGCCGCCAACTTGTCATCGATGCATCCCTACTGCGCGACGCACGGGCTGATATCAAGCGTGGCACTTGGCAGATGGCGAGACTATCAATCTAATGCGAGTCGGCAGCGTTGTGCTGAATGTGCTCACGAATGGAAAGTAGAAAAATGTGACGCTGACGTACGTGTATCTGGAACCCGAGCTGTCGTGTTAAATTATGTCCTACAGCAATCTTAAATATAAAGGGCTCCGGGCTTATCTACGACGGCGAATCGCGCGTGTTGGTAGGGTGCAGCAATTGACTAGTCGCCTTTAGCTTGGCGATGGATCACAATTAACTCTACGCACAGGCGCCCAGCCGGCTCACGAGCCATGAGTGACTCGCGACGTGCTCAGGAAGTTTCAGACGAGACAGACAGCTCCGGACGAGACTGAGTCGGACACGCAAAGCGGCTCGCTCCTGCACTTCCACTAGACGCTTACATCTCGCTTACAACGCCGTCGAGCGCATCGCATGGTGCCTCGCGTCCGGCATCGTGCTCAAGGGTCTCAAGCGCCCGACGTACATCCCTTTCACTCAAGGCAAGCAAATGAAGAACGTACAGCCTAAGAAGGACACTAGCGCAAACCCTCCGATATGCAGAATTGGTGGGGTGATCTGTTCTGAGATTAAGGGTCCGATAGCCCCCGAAAAAACTGATTGCACAATCTTCACCTCGTCAATTTTGTCTATGACAAGTCGAACTCCCGTCGTGTCTTCCTGGCGTCGAACAAGAAGTAGGCGGCCAAGATATTTGAGTAATATCTCGCATTTCTTGTGCGCCGGTTCGACTGCTGTATCCACGTGCTTTAAAATGATAGCGGCGTCTAATGCGCGAACGTCTACCTCTTATGCGAGCGGACACGCGTCGCGCGGTAGATCATCGAGGCAAGGAATGGCGTCAAACGGCAAGATCGAGCGCATGCACAGGGAGATCTAGAACATGTCGCGCAGCATGATAATTCCAGCCGACTTTTGGTGACGTTCTGGGGCATGCGGTGGAGTACGCGGCGTACATACTCATCCACATCTCAATGAGCGCGAACTCGAAGCGCGCGTCGCTGATCGAGATTTTGACGAAGCACGCGGTGGATCTGCGTGACATCGTCGCATTTGGCTCTATCTGCTCGGTCTACCGTGACCCAGGCAAGAACTCGCTCGCGCAGCGCGCTCAAATGGGCGTGATCATCGGGCGAAGCGAAGAGACACAGGGATCTCGCGTATTCCTTCAGAAGGAGAAAAAGTTCGCGGTCGCGCAGCATCTGCGAAACGTCAGACTCTTAGCGCAGAGCATAAATGTCATCTGCTGCATGCTCTCTAGTAAGAAACTCAAGCGGTGGAGCCAGAAGTGACAGCAACAACGAGCTAAGAGTCTCTTACCGCTGTAGAGGCCCTATCGACGACGATACGCAGCGGCAAGAAGAAAACGAAGTCGCTGATGCGCGTGGATCACCGGAACACGCGGCGCAATAAAGCGCGCACAGGCAGCCGGCGATTAAAAGGATCTATCCCGAGTACGACTGCGTGGTGTCTCATTTGTACAAGCGCGATGATTAAAAAAAAGGAAGCGCTACGCAGCACTAAGCGCGAAGGCCAGATATGTGCCATGAGCGAAAGACCCCAATCCCTAGTAAACAACGGCATGTGCCACTTGATCAAGTGACCGCCGGGCAGCAACGCTCTGCACATGAAGTGGGTCTTCAAGACCAAGACCGACGCGCATGGCGAGGTCGAGCACTTGATGGATCGGCTGGCCCGTGAAAACGAGCAAGCTTTCGGGCTCGACTAATAGTTCACCTTCGCGGCCTTTATGGACATGTCGACCGTTAAGGTGATTTTATCGCTTGCGGCGATGTGGGGTGTCCCGGCGAAGCACGAGACATCACCAATGCATTTGTCAAAGCGACGAGAAAGCTTGACTTTGGTGAAACTTCTCCAGGTGCCGCAGGCAGTGGACATCGATCAAAGCGTACTTAAGACGCTTAGTCGCAGCGACAAAGAAGGAAGTGGCTCTATGGCTACGCAAGATCTCGTACGGCCTCAAGCAGGCTGGACGACTGGATCCAGCTTATGCACGCTTGTCTGCTCAAGGCCGGCTTCCAGCAATGCATCTTTAACATGTGGCTTCCAGCAATGCATCTCCAACATGTGTCTCTACTGGCAAGTCGGGGGCATACATTTGGTCATCGTCGGCGATTGCATCGACGGCCTACCCGGCACAGTCAGAAATTTCTCGGCATGCGAGTCATGATTAACAAAAGTGGTGGCTACGTGCTCGGCCAGGCTAAGGCAATCGGCTAGCTCCTATGTGAGCATTGGCTCAAGGAAGCAAACTCGACAAAATCACCTATCGGCACTGACTGCTGTAACGTGCTATCAGATGACAGCGCGCTGCTCACTGTGACTAAGTTGTATGTTTCGCCAACGATCAAGATGTTCTAGCCGCTCGTCGGCATTCTAATGTGGATTTCACACTGCACACGACCGGACATTGCGCTAGCCGTACACAAGGCGACGCGTCGGAGCTCATCAGCTGCGACTCCACGACATGAAGTTGTATAAGCGCATCACGCGGTACCTGAATAATCACGCGTGACTACAAGCTTTGCATAAAGCTAGCGCAGGATCTCTATGGGAAGATACAGATCGAAGCGTACTCAAAAGCCGACTTTGCGGTGAGAAGAGAAACAGGAGGTCCATGTCCGGCAATATCATCTGCCCGAGCGGCATGCCTGTCAGTTGGACGTCGAAGAAGCAAAGCGGTGTCTCGCTCTTGACGATGGAAGCGGACATCGTTGCTACATCGGAGCAGGCACGCGTGCTGCTCGGCATCATGGAGATGCTGAACAGTTCGGTAAGCCGCGAGCGCTGCCGATAGTATTCCACGTCAATAATCAAGCGGCACTGAAGCAGATGGCCGACGAGGATTCATCGCTCAAGGCCAAGCACATCGACGTCCGCACGAAGTTCGTGTGCGACTACGCGCGACGTGGGATTATCCTGTCGCAGTACGTCCGCTTGGATCAACAACTCGCGGATCTTCTGACGAAAGCACTGGACGCGGATGTTATGCAATAGTACGCCTATCAGTTCCACTGATGGCTTTATGTGTGTATCACACCAGCGCACTTGATAATGACAATCATTTGTGTAACCTCGTTAGAACACTTCCTTAAGCAACTTTTTGATAATGTGTACCCATAAGTTATCGTATACGTATCGATCACTACATCGTGCCTAGCAAATAAAGCTTACGCGTTTAGGTGCTTCAACATCGCAAAATTCTGACTCTCATCTTCTTCTATTCCAAGACTGCAGTTCTGCTTATATTAGAACGTGACAGCTTTGTCTCTTTGCATTTACGTTATGATTTATGGCATATAATTAGTTTAAACAGCTCGACTTTGGCGTATCGCATTAAATGGTGGGTGTGTACTAATTTATAAATATTTTTCCAATATTATTCATCAAAGAGTGACGAAGACGTTGGGGCGAGTTCGATGACATACGAAACTCTGTATTCTCGACAAGGTACGATTGCTACTCTAATCCCGGCAATGGAAGGCAAGACCACCGGAAAGTCGCAGCGCAAGCGGCTGCAGCGACAGCTGGAATTCTACCTGAGCGAGAGCAACCTTCGGCAGGACAAGTTCCTGCAGCAAGCGATGGATGATAACGGCTTTGTACCTGCACACGTGTTCCTGTCCTTTAACAAGTATTTTCATCCTTGCACCTTGCGCTTGACAGTCTTAATTACAATGCCTAATAACGCTTGCGTACGTTTTCCAGATTAAAGGTGCTCAAGGCTACCGAACGTATGATCCTGGAAGAGGCAGAAAGGTCGTCAGTGCTTCAGGTTAATCGAACGGCTTCTTCTATTGCACCCAATTTTGTGCCGAAGAAGACCAACCAGGACCATGGCACAGGTGCGTACAACATACTTTATTGCGCACGTGAGCTTGGTGCACTCTTTTTTGCAAATTGCTGAATAGTTGTGTCTTCTTGTTCTAGATGCCCGTACGATATATATCGACACTTTCGGCGTCATGGACGACCACGATTCGCTACGGCGGGCCTTTGCTTCGTTTGGCAAAGTGAACCTTGTGAGCCTGCCAAGATTTTCGCAGAGCAGAAAGTTTAAGGGTTTTGGCTTTGTAGAGTTCGCCGATGAAGTTGCCGCCGACAAAGCTGTCGCAAACTTGTCGTATGTGGATCTGAGGGGCATTCGTGTCATGAAGAAAACGCGGTGGTTAGACATGAAAGAACAATTGAAAAATTGTCTGGCACACGGTGGTGGGGCTGAAGGCAGTGCCAGTGACAGTGTCAGCTTGTCATGCAGTTCCAAACCCAGCAGTTTTTTAAGCACGGCCGTTACGAAAACGAAGGATAGGAAGCGGTGTTCACTAGCCTCAACGGAGCACATCCACTTTGGTGATGACTTTGACAAAGAGACTACTGAAAATGAAGAGACAACGAAGAAGCAAAGGCTATGAAATAAAATGTGCAGTCCTTTCCATTCATATACGATAAGCAGCCGGGTCCACGTGCTCGAGGCCGTATATGTGTGCAATCTTCTTCATCAATTCTTTTCGACTCTTGCTCGTGGCATTATCAGACTGAAGATCGTACAGTGAACTGAGATTAAACACGACCACACCATTTAGAAACCGCTGTGGGTTCAACTTGATCATCCGTTCTAGCGCAACCACAGCTGCCTTCACATCGCAGCAATAAAGTGCGCACACTGCATAATTATTGACAGCCGAGCACACAATATCCTCATCCAGAAAAACCTCAGCATCACTGTTCGCCGAACTCAAGACTTGCGAATTCTGCAAACGTAGAATGGAGTCAAATGCGCGCAGTGCTTCTTGCAGCTTATTTTGGGCGAAAAACAGCAGGCCGTCATTCAGTAGCAAGCGTGCTTCTAGCTCGCATAAGACCTCAGATCGTGTTGCCGTACCACTGTCTCCGCTAGCTTTTGCTGGGTGAATAAAATAGCGAGCAGCTTTGAACAACTTCTCTGCTGCTGCCAAGTCACCCATCTGCAAACGGATGCGCCCCACACGGGACAATACAACCACTTTATCGTTTTCATCCATGAATTGATTCTGACGTAATGCACAAAACATCACCATTATCATTTGTCAATAACATGCAATACCGCAAAGGAACAGTAAGACGTATGGACGTACATCAATCTGAGAACAGATTCGCAAGGCCATCATGAACTTTTGCTGATGCACTAGGTGATTGACAAGCGCAAATTGTGCAATTCGGAGCCACTGTGCAGCTGCTCTCAATTGGGCACCAAATAGAGACATCGTCTCATTCTGTTGGATTGCATTGCGCAGTCTCAATATCAGATGGAACAATTGCTGCTCATGGGTCATAACTTCTCCTTGGCACTTGCTTAGTAGCGCTTGAAGTAGCAGCAAACGAATGGGCACGAACGGGGAAGTACCACCTGCGATCGATAGTTTATCAAGGTTTCCAATTTGGTCCAGCACGTTAGTCGCATTGGCGAACTGTCCATCTTTGATGAGGCCGGCAAGCCACCACGACTTAATTTCCAATGCCATGTTTGTATCGCCTGATAAGCTCTGAAGCATCGAAAATGACTTCTTTGTCAATGACCGCCATCGCTTCTGAGCGTACAAAACCTCCAAACCTTCGATAGTGTCAGGAACAGGCGTGTTTCCATTCGGGATCGCGTTCTTAGTACTTCCCAAACACTCAGCAATAGGCAATTTCAATAAACCATCGGCGAGATCGTTCAAGATTGGAGCTTCACATGTGCTTTGACATAGAGACGGGGATCGCGATGCTGCTTCAGATGGTGTGGGCCTTGCTTGAGAAGGTTTTGTCTCTGCGTCAAAGATAAGTAAGTCCGGGGTGGATGAGGACGGTGCAGGATCAAGATCCGAAAGTAACCAAGCCTTGTCATCATACCCCAGAAAAGGAGCAGCAGGAGGAGGTGTTTGACCGAACGCGCGCAAGGGCGATTGCTGCCGCTGCTGATACGACTCGTTCTGCTGTGTTGCTCCACGAGGAGCATCAGACCTGCTGGACGACGATGGAGATAGGCTCTGTGAAGACGGTAACGACGATCGTCGCGACAGCATTGAAGAAAATGTCATGGCTCCTTCTGGGCTGTCAAACAGACTCTCGTAAGGGTCCTGCTGGGTTGATGGTCCTGACGCAAAGCTTGAAACAGCAAAATTATCTGGTGCCATTCGATTGTGTACTGCACGTACGTTTTCATGCTTGTGCTGCGTAGGATTTAATGGAGCTGGGATCGAAAGGCCATCAAATGGGTCAGCACGGGATTGATCGTGCTGAGACAGTAAAGGCCCAGTTGGCCCGAATCGTTGAAGCTCTGGTATCGGTGTAGCTTGTTTTCCAGGCGAATTGTGGATAGCATCTGGAAGAGTTGGAGGCGCTTGCAAATAATGAACTGGTGACGACTCAGATGAGCTGCCGCCGAGGGGCACCGATAGATGTCGCTGCGGAGCTAACGGTGTGGACAATTGCGTTGGAATAGCACGCACTGGTTGACCTGCACAACGATGCCGACCATTTTAATAAGCAGGATAAACACGATATCGAGATGGGATGGGCACAACGAACCTGGAAATTGCCCCGGACTGCTGAATCCAGGGCGTATTTGATTCACCATTGCGACGGGACTGCCAAAAGTGTCCACGTAATTCATCAACATTGATGATCGAGCTCCAGTATACACAACATAACGTACCCGGACGCGAATGGGGAGGTTCGTATTGCTGCAGCGACTGCTGTCGACCTGCTACCGCTGACAGGGTTCTGCACTGGCACCTGCGCTCGCTCGGTCATTTTGGTAGGGAATAGCTGGGCTTAGAAATTTCTTTGAATTAGGATAATGTAGTTTACTATCCATTGGTGATCAGTACATCCGAAACGATTTAAGTCCACTTCGTAGGTTCGATCTGATTGTAACGTCAACGACGGAGCCAAAATTAATATTGTGGCATATTACTCTGTCCCATTAGTTTATATTTTATCACGCGTTTGACTCGCATTTGTGACACAGCCTGAGTTTTTTGACAAAAATTCTATCAGCGAAAAGAGCTCATTCTGAGGCATTTAATGCAATTTTCGGAGACCTTTATCTGTAGATACCGAGACAATAATCTGGTATTTGTCTGATCGTTTTTCAGAGTTTTTTTTTTTTGTGACGCGGTGAAGTCAGACGGCGTTATGTTACACTCGAACAAATTGTTTCATCATCTAAAATGGAGCGTGACAATCTAAATAATAGTTAAAATTCTTAACGTGCAGAATTAATGTAAATAAAAAGAAGGTTTTCCATTGTAATTTAGCAAAAGTTTCTAAAGATAATTGATATTGAAATAAATTAGCCAATTGAAAAATGCTTCCTTTTATCATCATTCTCAATCTTCCTTTTTTCAAGCCTCGGATTAGCTGTTACGGGGTAATCCTGCTGCATATTTTATACCCTCCATTCTTCTTTTATTTAAAGCATCATAAATGTTGATAGTGTTCGTAAATATTTCCAAAAATGGTAATATTCAAAAACTCTCACCGATTGGCTGATATGGGTCATCATGTCAGTCAACTCTAGCGGCCCAATCAACGATGGACGCGCGCAATGAGTGGCGAGAAAACATTGGCACACATTTTTGTCGATAAACGGAAAATTAAGCTAGGACTAAAAATAGGTACACGTAGTTAAAATTTTATTACATTTAATTAAGTTTTACTTGTAATTGTAACGGGGTGAATCGTTACATAACAATTTGTAAGAAATTGTTAATAGAATATAACTATAAGAGTTATATTCTCAGAATATTGTCATAAGGACAAATATTCTGTAGCACTTACGAGTAGTTCCTAATTGGTTGATATAGGCCATTATATCAACCAACGAAGACGCGCCACGACAGACGCACGCAATGAGTGGTGAGCAGATATTTGATTTACACATTTGTATTTATACATAGTTAGATGAGGATAAACAGGGGGTTAATTACAGACATTAACTACTATAAATACAGTTCTACTTTTTACTCTAACCAAGTACTCGCTTCTTCTTACCGTCTTCCTCTGCACGTACGAGTGTACGTGAAGTTACGAGGCACCGCCTTATTCTGTCATCAGAATAAGTAGCTTGTACTGTCACCAGTACAAGCTTCAGGGTGCCCCGTTACACCTGGTAGCACTTCGTAGTCCGTCCAAGGACCGCGTTCACATCTAACATGAATATGTTGGATGATGAAGATGACCAAAGCTTTCACGCTACGCGTGACGGCTACTCCCATTTGAGCGATGTCGAATGGGATGCGGTTGAACGAATGGGTTCGACCATGGGCATCCATGCTGTTAGCGTCATGCTAGAGGCTCTCAATAGAGATGCCCAACATGCTACTATCGCCAAGTTCATTCAAAATGAACTTGACGCAGAACGCGAGAAAGTAGCCTTGCTTCACCAACAAGGTTCTCAACAAGCAGAGTTGTTGAGAGAACAGGGTGCTCAACAGTTTGAACTGTTGAGACAGCAGCAGGCTGCTGCTGGTGGGTCGATGCACTCGCGTCGACCCGAAACCTTGAAGATTGACATCTCCAAGTATAGGGGAGTCGAAGAGGACTCCCTCTTGAGATGGTTCGTCGAATTGGATGACGCCATAAGGGCGCGTCGCATCGACGACGGGGATATGCAAGTTGCATTTGCCCAGTCAAATCTGGCAGGACGTGCCAAGACTTGGGCACTGGGGCTCAAGTTGCACGACCCATATGCGTTTGGGTCGTTGGAAGTCTTCAAGTCGCGGCTCAGACAAACGTTTGAACCGCCTAGAGCTGAGTTCAGAGCTCGAACCGAACTCTTGAAGCTCAAGCAGGGTAAGCGTGATGTGCACGCTTACGCGCAACATATACGACATCTCACGAGTTGTATAAGTTCCAATCCGGTGGATGAACACACGTTGGTTTCGGTGTTCATGCAGGGTCTTGCGGATGGTCCCGTCAAGACTCACCTGTTCCGGCTTGAACTAGATTCACTAGAACAAGCCATATCCGTTGCGGAACAGGAAGACTTCAGTCTGAGACAGGCTCGCGCCAGCTCGACATCATATCGTCAACCGAGACGATATGACAACGGAGGTCCAGAGCCGATGGAACTCTGTTATGTAGAGAGCGAGAAGGTTCGCTCTACAGACTACAAGAAGTTGCAGAAATGCAACAGATGTCAGAATACAGGACACTACGCTTACGAGTGTAGTGCCCCTCGTCCAGTGTCTCGCAACACTGGGCGTAGTGACCGTCCACCCATGAGAAAGGGGCAGGGACGCGGGTCCGCTGTTGGTGTAAAGACGCAACAACGGGATGGACCGTCAAAAAACGGACAGGATCAGTAGGTGCGGAGCACCCTACTGGTCCAGCAACGTCAAGAGAATTTGTAGGCCTCTTGATGAAGGTTGCTCCCAACACACAAACGTTGTGCGTTGTCTGCTCTAGGTAATGAGATCTCACTCATTACCTTGAAACTCGAAGTGACGAATAAGTTGTCCCTTCGAGCTCTAGTCGATTGTGGGGCGTCCAACAATTTTGTGCGACGCCAATCGCTAGAAGATGGTCACTTTAAGTTCAGTGAATGTGACACACCTCCTACGAGGATGACGGTACGTCTTGCGACAGGCGCATCCGTAACCGTCATGAAGCGTATAGTGAAGATCCACTATACGCTAGAAGATACCCAATATGACGATGACTTTATCGTATTGGATTTGGATGACAAATTTGATGTCATCCTTGGAATACCGTGGCTCAGAAGGTACGAACCACGGGTAAACTGGCAACATCGAACAGTAACGATGCCTGCCGCTTGTTCATCAGATGGCCATCTGATGAACGTTTTGGAGCGTCCACAAGCGTGTGGATGTACTACGAGTGAGTGCGATGGCCTCACTTGTGGTACGGTCGTTAGTACGACTGCACAAAACCTTAGTGTACCAAACGGTTACACTTCGGAGCAAAGTTCCGGCGGCTGTGAGGGAAACACAGGCTGCGCCGAAGGTCCACCACTCGAATAAGTCGGGTGGACTGGGACAAAGATGTATCCCTAGCGGGGAACATCTAGAAGAGAAACAATCGATCGCTCAGGTTAAGCGAAACGATAATCCTAGATCGACTGGAGAGTCTTTCGTAGAGGATCTCGCTGTGGTTGCGCAACCCCAGCTAGAGGAAGTAAAGGGAATAAGTCCCGATATTACAAATACGGCGGAAATAAGTTCCCCGAAACCCGCGGGAATAATATTAAATAGAATAGTTCCCGAAACCCGCGGGAATAAGTCCCCGGGAAGCCGAAGGAATAAGTCCTTCGAGGCCTGAGGGAATAAGTCCCCAGGAAATGACAGAGACATTGAATGTCATAGTCAATAACGGATCAAGTGTAGGCGCTTATACACTTGATCTGATTGCGCCTCCGAAGTTGACTTCGGAGATCACTCAGTTGCCAACGCTCGAACATAAAAGGTTCTTGCGTGATCTGCGTAGTGGCAAAGTCAAGCAGATCTGCTTACTCGTCGCTGACGACGAGTGTGTATCCGACATAAGGTCAGCAACAGTGTTTACTGAGAACGAGAGAGTTCTCAGTAGTTCATCTATGGACGAGAGTGTCCTAGATGAAAAGACACGAATTGAGCGATATGACTCCCAATCGTGGGAATCGCTCAAGAAAAATCCTCTCTATGAAGATTTGGTTGAATTCAAGGATGTATTCCCTGAAACTGTTCCGTGCGAATTACCGAAGGATAAAGGTATTCGACACGAGGTCGAGCTTAAACCAGGCTCGAAGTACTGTGTCATGAAGCAGTGGCCACTGCCTCGTGAACAAGTACTTGCGATCGACAAGTTCTTTGCCGATCGTTTAGCTGCGGGCCATGTGAGGGAATCAACTTCCCCACATAGCTCTCCGACCTTCTGTGTGCGAAAAGCAACAGGAGGGTGGCGGATAGTGCACGCGTTCAACAAATTGAATGCTGCAACGGTACCGGCTCAGACGCCGATACCGAGGAAGGACGTAATCATTGATGGTATGTCAAAGAGTACCATCTTTTCGTCCATGGATTTGATGGATGGCTTCTATCAAATCCTTATGCGAGAACGGGATATACCCTATACCGCAGTTAGCACGCCTAGCGGCATGCTCTGGGAATGGCTAGTAATGCCACAAGGGCTTAGTAATGCCCCTGCCACGTTCAACAGATGTGTATCACATCTGTTGAGACCAGTACGAGAATTCGCGCCGAGTTATTTCGATGACGTATTCATCCATAGTCGAGCTATGGATGGAAAGTCGGACGTTGAGGTTCACAGGTACCACGTCCGACAGGTTCTTACAATCATGCGAAAGCATCAATTGTATGCAAACCTCAAGAAGTGTATATTTGCAGCAAGCGAAATACCACTTCTTGGGTGCATCGTTGGTAAGAACGGTGTACGTCCTGATCCCGAAAAGATCAAGGCGATCACCGACTGGCCTGTGCCGGTTGATGTCAAAGGTCTTCGAAAATTCCTTGGGCTAGCGGCGTATTTGCATAAGTATTCACGCAATTACGCCGAGATGACTGTGCACCTCTCTCGTTTGTTGAAAAAGAACGAGAGGTGGTTATGGAACGCTGAATGTCAGCGCTCCTTTGATGGTATCAAGCAGAGCTTGATACAATCCCCAGTCCTAGCAATAGCCGATCAGGACAGGCCATTTCATGTGGTCTGTGATGCCAGCGATTTCGCAATCGGCTGTGCATTAATGCAGTACGACCTTGAAGGCGTTGAACGCGTCGTCTGCTATCAGTCGC